CTGCCTTTAGTGGAGCCTTTACCGATTTCCTCCATTGATCAGAGCATTCGGCGCGGTCGTCTGTGAGTGACGTCACCTCCCAACACAAACACGCCCCCTAGTATAGCTCCGCCCCTTCACACTGATTGACAGCTTTCCGTGTAGACGTCGGAAATTCAAATGCAAAAGGAATTGCGATTCCATTTGAGTTTTGGCAGGTTACATGCGCGACGCAGCGAGAGTGAAAAAGCAGACGTGGTAATTAATATTGCTATTTAAATATGACTGGCTCGTAACTCCTAAGACATGGGAAATACAGTTGCAAATGGACTTTGCTTTTTCATTTGAAATTTGGCAGTCACTGTGCGTTCGCGAAAGCAAAAATGCAAACGGTAATGCAGGATTTGCAATTGCATTTGGATTATGTCACAATTTATGCGTCCACATATTGAAAACGCAATTGAAAATACAATTTGCTATTCTATTTGAAAATTGTCCGGAATATCGTTCCATATGTGTCATTCACCGGTGAGAAAACTTTATAGCACAGTTTGTAAAAGTACTACAATACCAGGAAGGAAGATTGTTGATGTTTGCCTGCCATTCTTGCTCTGTCTGCAATAGTGTACGTGAACGCGCTGATGACGTATCCTGTCTGCGCGAACCGAGTGTGCAGAGGTATGCTAATACACATGTTGACAGGCAGGTAGGAAAGTCAAACAAAACACTCGGATCGAGCGTTTTGATTGGACAAACATTTCTTGGTCCTACGCCTTCCACAGAATATATAAATAAAGATAAATACATCTACACCACTTAACATCATGATTGCTATCAGGATGTGAAGAGACTTTCAACCAGCATAACAAAAAAATTTTCTGAAGAGAATCACCTATTGCACCTTTAAATGTTGCGTTGTGATTTCTTGATGGTCACCATTCTTGGATTTTATGTCGTGTGTTGAGGCCTGCAGTATGTACAATCATAAAAAATTATATCCTGGATATCTTTGCTACGTCCAACATATGAAGTGTCCTATAAGACTATACAGTATATATGGCTATCAAAAAAAATTTGTTTTACTGCTGAACAAGAAATCTGTTGTCTTGACAAACTTATTGGCTAAATTAGGTATTTTGCATTTAATGAACAAACAAATTCAAAGTAATGTTACGTAGTATAATTATTAAGAGAATCATTGGGACATCTTATCTGAATGCATCATGTTGCCTAGGATTTTTGACCTTTTTTAACAATTTATTTACTCTTCATAAGGCTTGGATTAAACAGCCTGATTAATATGGATTCATTTTACAATGACTTTATAACCTTTTTGAATGTTTTGGAGAGACTTTCAATGGAGAGACAGAAATCACTGATATTTACACAAAAAAAATATTTTCCAAAGTCTTATGTGTATGGATCAACATGATGACAGAATTTTCATTTTTAGGTGAACTATCCCTTTAAGATGGTGTAATAAAGTCCACTTCTCGGGGCACTTACAATCGAAAGGAACACCTTGTCTCTAATTCTTCCGTGATGTCATCACACACACATGCATGGCCTTTGAGTGTAGCTTTGCCTACTCTACAGGTATCTGTCATCTGCTTTCACCTTCTGGAGCAAAGAAGGGTATTTAAGATAGGCTGCACTATATTAACAGGAAAAATTTGCATCATTATTATTGCCTATGCATCTCAGTGCGTAAATAGCACTTGTATGTGTATGTGTGTGTGTGTGTGTGTGTGTGTGTGTGTGTCAGTGATTGAGCGAGGTACAACAGAGGTGCGAAAGGCCAGACATTAGCTTTATCACTTGTGTGGTAATAAGACAGAGTGTCTACAGGAAGCAATGGGAAAGGTTTCACATTTGATGAAAACTGGCATGACAGAGGGCTTCATTTGTTGCTTGCCGCTGAGAGGCTACCGGTGTCATCTCTTCTTGTGCTAACATCATTTCCTAAACAGATCTTTTGAAAATACCATATGGGCCTCATTTTTCATTTAATCTCATGATTGTGTAATATATCATTTTTAAATATATTATTAAGTGTTATTCTTTAAACAGTTTGGTGCTTCATTATGTATAGCAGTGTCAAATCAATTCAGCAAATGTCTATGTGCCATGAAATAAATGTGTGTATGCCAAGGCGAGATGGAGACAGAAAGAGTTTGTGGAGATGCTATCTGTTCTCTGATGTTCAGTTTGCATCTGTGGCATCACAAAACATCACTCATGCGGTTTGGTGAAAGATACACCAATGGCATCAGCAGTACTGCAGAAACACGCACGCACACATAAATTCTGCAGGTATTACTCTGCCAATCTAAAAGTCTGCTGACAGAGTCAGTCATTTATATTTCAGATGAGCCACAGAAATTGTGAAGGAAAAGGAATGAGTTTGGGTTACAAAAAAATAGGCATCATTCACACTCAAAACACAGCAGCATATGGAGAAATACAAGCAGAGCACCCTGGGCACTAGAGATGTAGATATCTAGCAGATGCAGCAAGTAGATTATTGATGAAAGAAATTGATTGTTTGTAAATGAAAGTGGTGCAGGCAGATAATTGACAGTCATATTAAATTAATATCCATTTATTCTTCTGAACCGTGCACTGAACCGTGTTCTTATTGGTAGGTTCTTTTGAAACATCTGCATCCCAATCACCTGCATTCTTTATATGCACTGGATTCAAACAAACTGCATTTCCACACTTCATCCACCATGTTCACATTGTCTTTCGACATATGATTAACTGACAACAACTGCAAAATAATGTGTAAATATTTAGCCACAAGAAACTACTTTCTTACCAAAAGCACTTGGCTCACAATTGTTAGCCATTTTTGTCCACTTCTCTCAGCTACTATGGCCTTATGGGACAGAAAAGTGTCCACTAGCTGCATGCACACTTCATTATCTCAGCAGATGCAGTAGGTCATTTGGGTATTGCTTGTCTACAGTTTTATAAATACTACATATTCTGACATTCTACTCTTTTTGCATAGTGTGTAGCAAGGAAGTACACTAGAAACAAGAATATAAAATATGATGCTTCCATAAAATATGATACTCATAAAATAAATACAAATAAAGACACAGTAACAAAACTCCATACAACATCTTTCATACAATATTTCCATATAAATAAAGAGTTGAAGAGAAATTTCAGAGAAAGCTGAGTAGGGGCACAACAGTGGCAAGCAAAATGAAAGACTATTTTGCTCGAACATACTGCGAAATAATCAGAATAACAGAGAAATGATTGTATGGGTGCTATGAAAACTGGTGGCTTTCAATAATCAATATAATCATTTATGGAAAGTACACATTCATTAAAGAAATGTTAATATTAAGGGGAGACAGATTGACTTCTTGTTTTCATTTATGGATTGTTCTCGCTGCCTGTTAATTCGTGGTCTGTCAAATGCAGGGAATTTGTGCATTACTTTACTGATGCTTTGGATGGTACGCTTTGGTTGCAGAGTCTCTGTTCATATACACAACAGAGATTTTTTGTTTTTGCTATAAAGAAACAAAAAAGGTGACGCACGCGTGAGCGCTCTGGTTATCCCTATACAAAACTACAGATAAGATGACCCACTTGTTCCATTTGAACTTTACAATATATTATATATTAGTATTAGTAATATATTAGTAACTATTACCAAAGCAAGGCTCTTTCAAGTGAAATACGTTGAATAAAGTTTACACTCACGCTGCTGTTGTGTCCGGACCACAGCACCATGGCCTGATTATGAGCCGAATCTGCGGACAACGCAAAGGTGGACGTGATCAGGTGTGGCTCATTCTGCCTCGGGCTCTTCCCAGTACCGTCAACTCCTCCGGTACGCCTGAACTCGAACCGAGAACCGGCCGCGCTGTCAGACGGAAACAGACTGCGCTTTTCTCTCCTGTTCACTTTGGTTTCCTCTGGAGACCATGTTGGATAAACTTTTCCGTCTTTTTCTTCAGCTGGGCTCGTCCGTTCCGCTCTGGATATGTGCGCGTTCTGCAGTTTCTCTCTCCAAGACACGAAAGGAGATTTTTTGTGCGCTTCGTGGGAAAGTTGAGCTCCATCAAGTCTCCATTTCCAATTTCTATCAGTACTGCCGCCCGGTGCACTTCCAAAATCACGGCTGACAAAAGCTGTCCGACGTATTGGTGCGAAGCACGAGGCGCAAGTGATATCTGCGCGCACTGGGAGCGGCACGAGAGCGCAGAGAAAAAACAGCGTCCAGTACGTCCAGCTCGACTCGAACCCCAAGACATCCTTCGTCTTAATCATCCTCCCTCTCATTTTTACCTTTTAGACCCTACCGAGTCCACGTAAGTTCCCTTAAAATCCCAGCATAAACAACTAATTTAACTTTTCGCCACGGTAGTGACGTTGGGGGATACCTGTATAACGGTGAATGTGTATGATGTGCGGGTTCGGTCGGTTCTGAGCGGGGTGTAGTTACCGGAGGGGTGGAGCCCCTTAGTGACATGCTCTCACTCACTCACTCCGCTTGGATCGAGCTTGGGAGCAGAGTGTGTGACAGGTGCGCGCGCGGGGTATAGCGATGGCCCCGAGGGTATCCGCGAGCAGAGACATCTGGAGTAGTCGAGACTGCATCTTTTCATATTAATATGTAAGCAGGAAAACAGATAACCTCGTCTGCCGTCACATCAGTGAGAGACAGATTTTAAATACGGAAACAAAATGAAAACCAGTGATAAGTCTTCATTTTAAGAAATTAGTTTGTTTAACAGTGACTTACGCTCCTTAAATAAACTTGTATCATTTACTCTCCCTATTGTCCTTATAAACGTGTTGAACATATATTCTAAAGAATCAGTATGCATTACTTTTTCCATATACTGGCAGTTCATTGTGACCACATATATCAGTCTCCAAAAATGAACAAAAAATACCATTAAAAGCACCGTGGAAGTGGTCCATATGGCTTTTTAGGCCATAGGAGTATGACAATTTAGATTGTTATTCCCTCACACTCTATCTAATTTCACTATCAATTCTGCAGATTCAAAGTGCTGAGTTGCTTTGAAAACACGTGATAAGCAATAGTATTCGGCATAAATGGTGTCAAAGATAGCTAGGTGAATTGACATGGAATCTTTTAAATCTAAATTCAGTTGTGAATGAGATTTCAGAGCTTCAGTGGAGGGAAGGAAACGAGGGAATTTTTAACAGCTTACGTTTTAGTTTGTTCCTCACACAAAGCTATTTAAAAGAATCTCACAATCAACATTTACACAATGTACCTGTTACGGGGTTGACGAGACGTGAGACGTGCGGATTCATATGCAAAGCTTTATTAGGAGAAGACAGAGAGGTGGTCATAAAACAGGCATGGGTCGGATAATGGCAGACCAGTATAAGGCGGGCAAGACACAAGAATAATCCTAGGGCTAGCGTAGGTCGATGAACGGCAAACAGAATCAGAAGGGACAAGACTAAAGGGAGAAATCCAGGAAACCAGGCGAAGATCAGGAACCGAGAAAACGGCTAAGGCAGGGAAACTAATGAGGGCTCTGTAGTATAGCTATCTAGAGAGATGCGCTAAACAATACTCGGCAGAGGGAAGGGATCAGAGTGAGTGTAAAATAGTGAGGGAGTGATATGAAACAGCTGGGTGCAATCAGTGTTAACAGCTGTGTGCAATCCGTGCTGAGTGCAATCAATGCAATGAATGATGGGATATGTAGTCCGGGGTGATGTGCAACAGTGTGTAGTGCGAGAGTCAATGAAATTGGAAAGGGGAGAAAAAACAGCGTCCAGTACGTCCAGCTCGACTCGAACCCCAAGACATCCTTCGTCTTAATCATCCTCCCTCTCATTTTTACCTTTTAGACCCTACCGAGTCCACGTAAGTTCCCTTAAAATCCCAGCATAAACAACTAATTTAACTTTTCGCCACGGTAGTGACGTTGGGGGATACCTGTATAACGGTGAATGTGTATGATGTGCGGGTTCGGTCGGTTCTGAGCGGGGTGTAGTTACCGGAGGGGTGGAGCCCCTTAGTGACATGCTCTCACTCACTCACTCCGCTTGGATCGAGCTTGGGAGCAGAGTGTGTGACAGGTGCGCGCGCGGGGTATAGCGATGGCCCCGAGGGTATCCGCGAGCAGAGACATCTGGAGTAGTCGAGACTGCATCTTTTCATATTAATATGTAAGCAGGAAAACAGATAACCTCGTCTGCCGTCACATCAGTGAGAGACAGATTTTAAATACGGAAACAAAATGAAAACCAGTGATAAGTCTTCATTTTAAGAAATTAGTTTGTTTAACAGTGACTTACGCTCCTTAAATAAACTTGTATCATTTACTCTCCCTATTGTCCTTATAAACGTGTTGAACATATATTCTAAAGAATCAGTATGCATTACTTTTTCCATATACTGGCAGTTCATTGTGACCACATATATCAGTCTCCAAAAATGAACAAAAAATACCATTAAAAGCACCGTGGAAGTGGTCCATATGGCTTTTTAGGCCATAGGAGTATGACAATTTAGATTGTTATTCCCTCACACTCTATCTAATTTCACTATCAATTCTGCAGATTCAAAGTGCTGAGTTGCTTTGAAAACACGTGATAAGCAATAGTATTCGGCATAAATGGTGTCAAAGATAGCTAGGTGAATTGACATGGAATCTTTTAAATCTAAATTCAGTTGTGAATGAGATTTCAGAGCTTCAGTGGAGGGAAGGAAACGAGGGAATTTTTAACAGCTTACGTTTTAGTTTGTTCCTCACACAAAGCTATTTAAAAGAATCTCACAATCAACATTTACACAATGTACCTGTTACGGGGTTGACGAGACGTGAGACGTGCGGATTCATATGCAAAGCTTTATTAGGAGAAGACAGAGAGGTGGTCATAAAACAGGCATGGGTCGGATAATGGCAGACCAGTATAAGGCGGGCAAGACACAAGAATAATCCTAGGGCTAGCGTAGGTCGATGAACGGCAAACAGAATCAGAAGGGACAAGACTAAAGGGAGAAATCCAGGAAACCAGGCGAAGATCAGGAACCGAGAAAACGGCTAAGGCAGGGAAACTAATGAGGGCTCTGTAGTATAGCTATCTAGAGAGATGCGCTAAACAATACTCGGCAGAGGGAAGGGATCAGAGTGAGTGTAAAATAGTGAGGGAGTGATATGAAACAGCTGGGTGCAATCAGTGTTAACAGCTGTGTGCAATCCGTGCTGAGTGCAATCAATGCAATGAATGATGGGATATGTAGTCCGGGGTGATGTGCAACAGTGTGTAGTGCGAGAGTCAATGAAATTGGAAAGGGTGACCTCTGATGGCTAGCAGATGGAAGTTCATGGACCGGATTCATGACAGTACCATATATAAACAGTTTTCTTTTTAAGCAAATTTAGTAGCTTAATAATATGTTTGCTTAATGTTGTCAAGTTTTCTTCAGTCTCTCAAGCTTACAGAAATGAAGAACAAAGAAGATTTTACAAAGAAGATGCATGATAAACAAAACATGATACCAGAAAGATATTGGACCTGCATGGTGCGTTATACCACAATATAGTTCATAAATACCAGTGATGTTTTAATGTGTGACTGCATAATTGTGCAGGAAGTTGAGTCATCTGTGTCCCAATTTTAAAGTTTATCAAGGCGCTTTCTAGTGCCCAAATTCATGTTTACAATAGGTTGATTGACACGTCAGAATATATAAGTAGTGTGGAGTAGTTTTATCGGAGCATGGAAAAGATTCTTCAGAAATTCTCCTTTTTTGCTTCACTGAATAAATAACACCATACAGGTTTGTATAGAAGCCAGTTTCTGCCTCAGATAAAAAAAGGATATAATAAAGTTTAAAATAAGAAATAAAGTCACATTGTGAGAAATACATTTGCAATTGTGCACCATAATGTCACAACTGTGATAAATAAGGTTACTATTGTGAGACCTTATTTGTTTCCTCAGTGAAAGTTTCTGCCAGGAGGACATTATCTGTTAAGTTTACAGACATTTGCATTAACCCTAAAACTCAACACAATGCAATGTGCGATTCAAAATACAGTTTAAACATCTGTGAAAAATCAATACATAAAATTCCTTCATATTAACACTGTGCACTGTGCCCTAGTTTTATGGACTTTTCCTGGAGTGTATGTTCGAATGACACCAGAGTAAGTAAATAATGACAGAATTTTCATTTTCCACAAGCTATTCCTTTCATTTCAAAGTTAAAACCTGAAAACAAGAGGTTTAGTATTGAACTGTTGCAAGACACAACAAACAGTAATCTATATATAAGTTTAAAGCATTTCAACTTATATAGATTATCTGTATAAACATCCTAATCAATTTGGGAAAGATTAAAAAAAGGGAAAGCATGCATGAAGAAGATTTGCATTCATTATTCATTTAAAACAACTGGTCGATTACATGATTAGAGACAGAAACAGACATTAAGAGAGAGAGAAAGAGAGAGAGAGAGAGAGAGAGAGAGCAAGGGATGTCTTTCCTCTCCTTTGGGAAGGAAACGGCACGGTTTTGAAGGAGGGGGGGGGGTAAGGAAAACACTTTATGCAGTAGTGTTAAAATATGCACAATTACAACTGGCTCTCTGTATGAACTGGAACACTTTCACATGGACACACACACATACAAACATGCATGTTCAGCCTGACATGAGGAAGGTCAGAAATATCTGATCCCCTTTTTTTCACCACAATTAATGTGATCTGGAAATTACCCTAGCTCTGTCCATCACAGAAAACCAAAAGGATTTACGGAAGTGCCATAGATATCTTTATTTTCCAGCACTCAGCTGAAATCTAACACTTGCTAACAGCTAGAATGATTTATTGAACTGTATTGCAGTCACTGTCTTAACTCAACTGACCTACCTGTTAAGTTGACCTGATTAAATTTATTAGCACATTCAAGTTGAATAAACACTTTATGTAATACGCAATGTAACTGAGTGTGTGAGATTAATTTTTTTTTTATAAAAGTTTTTTTTTTCAAAGCTTAGTTGGATAGTTCTCCCTATCCAAAAAATGAAAATTCTGTCATAATTTATGTACCCTCATGTTGTTACAAACCTGTATGCATTACTTTGTTCTGCTGAAGAAAAAGGAAGATAATTTGAGGAAATGTACAGTTTCGATTCCCATTGACTTACATTGCATGAAAAAACATACAATAGAAGTCTATCTATCTATCTATCTATCTATCTATCTATCTATCTATCTATCTATCTATTCAAACTTTAAGCTTTTCACAGTTGTGCAAAGGAATGGTATACCTTGGTGACTAATTTAGTTGTGTTTATATGCATGTGAGTTTTCAATATAGTAACCACCCTGTTTCACCATCTGAATGCAATTGATATGACTGTGTACCTCTCAACAAATTAAATCAGCTGTGTAAAAAAAAAAAAGAGTAAAAAAACCCTG